CCCAGAGCAGACACAGAAATATTCCTGGTGCCCTGGGTTTGCACATAACCCAGGCTACACCCTCAGCCAACACCTTTCCCTCTCCTGTGATCCAGCTGCTGCCTGACTTTAATGCAATGCCAGATCACAGGTGAGAGGAAGAGGAGGGGAATTTCCTTTTCTATTGGCTTAGAAAGAGAGTTACTGATGTGTGAGTGAGGCAGGGAAAAACCCATCACTTTGAGGTTTTAGCCTGGTGTCCCAAGGAAAGGTTCATTGTCACTTGTCCTGTCACTGCCACAACTTATCAACTTGTGAGCCATTTTACAAAAAAAGGAGATTCTACAAAGCTGTAAAATCCCTGGTTCAGTGAAAATTACCAGCTGGGTAGGAAAAGAAAATAACTTTATAATGCTGTTGCCTGTCAAGGTGCAGGTTTAACTGTGTCCCCACTGGCAGAGTCTCTGCTGGCAGCAGCACCCAGAGCCTTTGGAGAGGGATGCCCTGGGCACAAACCCTTTGGAAGCCTTGGCAGGCCCTGCTCTGCAGGGGAAAGGAGGATTTGCCCTCTGCAGCAGGAACCAAGGGAGTGCAAAGGGCAGAGAAATGCTGGGTTATTCCCAACAGCTCACAGCAAACCCTGCCCCCAGATTGCTTTTTCCCCCAAGGAGAAACACGTGGCCCTTCTGGTTAGGATTTGTGTAAGTGGCAAATGTTTTCATGCAGATAAAAGGAGAGGCAGGGGGAGAGGCCCAGGGTTCTGGTTTTGTGAAGTATGGGGGAAAAAACCAACTTACTTCAGTAGTTTTATATTGCACATAATCAGCTCCTTCCAATTCACAAAAATCATGGCAACTTCTTTTTCTGTGACCAGCTCAGACTCCATCAGTGGTTTCTGGAAGATCTGGGGAGTGAGAAGAGGCCATTTAGAGTGCACAGGGTAAGGACAGAGCCAGCACCCCTGTCCCTGACATCCATGGTGTTCCCTGGGACTAAGGAGACCCTCAGGTATGGGGGCTTCAACAGGGAGTACTCTGAATGTGTAGGGGTGCTGGTGTTAATGCTGATCTGGATAACCTGTTTGAAACCTGGCAATTTTAGCAGAGATCTCCTGCAAAAGATCTCAGCATTCCTTTGATACTGCAACTGAAGACAGGTTTTACTTTGGACTCTTCTGTGGAAGATCTGATTTCTCTGAGAGTCCCAAGTTTTGCATATCTTGAACTCTTCCTCAAAAAAGGACTTTGCTTCTTTGTCAAAGGAATTGTCCATAGCTGGCTGTACTAATTCCTTTTTTCCTACCTCTAAAGCCAATCACAAGAAGTGATAACTGAGCCCCACTGCTCATTTATCACTCACTATCTGCCCCCTTCAGAGTACAGGGAATGTGCCTCATTCCAGAACATTTGTTTAAGCTTCACAGCCTGTACATGAGAAATGAACACTGAGAGTCAGGAGCAAAAGGGCTTTGCTAAAATGACACCTCAAAGATCAGCATTTTGGTGATGGGGGATTGCCATGGTACGCACCCACCCACAGCTGTATCTGTATATCTGTATCTATCTGTTTCTCTGTATAGCTGTATCTGTATGTATCCGTATATCTGTATCTATCTGTATCTGTATCTCTGTATCTGTACCTGTATCTATATCTATCTGTATATCTGTATCTGTATTTATCTGTATCTGTATATCTGTATCTGTATGTATCTGTATATCTATATATTTGTATCTATTTATCTGTATATGTATATCTGTATATCTGTATTTGTATATATATATATTTGTATCTGTATATCTGTATATCTGTATATCTGTATCTGTATATATATATATTTGTATCTGTGTATCTGTATCTGTATATCTGTATATCTATATATTTATCTGTATTTATATGTATATCTGTATATATAAATATTTGTATCTGTGTATCTGTATCTGTCTATCTGTATCTCTGTATTTGTATAGCTATCTGTATATCTGTATATCTGTATATCTGTATATCTGTACATCTGTACATCTGTACATCTGTACATCTGTATATCTGTATCAATAGAGACAAAGGAGGACTGGGCAGAGACCCCAAGGCAGGCAGGATGGCAGTGAAATGCAGGGATTCTGCACAATGCAGGAACTTTGCACAATGCAGGAACTTTGCACAGTGCAGAGATTTTGCACAATGCAGGAATTCTGCACAATGCAGGAACTTTGCACAAGCAGGAACTTTGCACAATGCAGGAATTTTGTACAGTGCAGGAACTTTGCACAATGCAGGGATTCTGCACAATGCAGGAATTCTGCACAATGCAGGAATTCTGCACAATGCAGGAGCTTTGCACAATGCAGGGACTTTGCACAATGCAGGGATTCTGCCGGGGCAGGAGCGCCGGGGCTGCCGCACCTCTGTCACCAGCTGCAGGTCGTTCACGTAGTTCTCCTCGGTGACGATGAGCTCGTGGATGTAGCCCTGCCTCTTCCTCTCGGTGGGGGTCAGCATGTCCAGCAGGTGCAGGTCTGCACACCCTGCAAAACACAACGGCAGCGGGGCCTCAGTGGGGCTGGGGCACAGGGACCCACCTGGGGCTTCTCCATGGGGCTGGGGCACAGGGACCCTCACTGGGGCAGCCACAGCA